TGTTTGGTTTGAAAAATGTTGGAGATACCTATCAGAGGGCTGTGACCACTATTCTGCATGACATGATCCACAAAGAGGTTGAGGTGTACGTGGACAACATGATTGTCAAGTTCAAAGAACGAAAGGGCCACTACGTCGCTTTGGAGAAATTATTTTAACGGATCAGGGAATACAGATTGAGGTTAAACCCACAGAAATGCACTTTCGGCATAACAATAGGAAAAATGTTGGGCTTTTTGATCACACAGAGAGGAATTAAAGTAGATCCTTTCAAAATCAAGGCTATCTTAGAAATGCCACCACCGATGACTGAAAAGGAGATACGAGGCTTTCTAGGTAAAGTACAATTCATAAAACGGCTTATTTCCAAATTAACTTTGACTTGTAAACCACTATTTGGTCTCCTGAAGAAAGGGAAGGAATTCTGATGGGATGATCGATGTTAGTTTGCCTTTGAACATGTTAAGCAGTACCTCCGAAATCCGCCTGTGTTATCGTCGCCAGAGCCGGGGAAGCCTTTGATTCTATACTTGTCAGTGATAGACACGACCATAGGATGCATGCTCGCTCAAGAATCTGAAGATATGATGGAAAAAGCCATCTACTACTTGAGCAAGAAGATGCTAGACTACGAGACCCGCTACACTCCATTGGAGAAAGCGTACATAGGCCTGGTATGGGCTACCCAGAAGTTGAGGCACTACTTGTTAGCTCACTTTATAATCCTGGTTTCGAGATTAGATCTCAACAAATATCTCTTTGAGAAATCGGCGCTTACGGGTAGGCTGGCTCGTTGGTTGCTTCTTCTCTCTGACTTTGATCTCATATATATCACCCGTACGTCGGTCAAGGAAAGAGCTGTAGCGGAGTTCTTGGCAGACCACCCAGTAGAAGGAGATGAGGCAGTGGAATACTTGTTTCCAGACGAAGACATTTTGCAAGTTGAAGAGGAAACATGGACGATGTACTTTGATAGAGCGTCCAATCAAGATGGTTATAGGATAGGTGTGTTGCTGATAGCACCCAATGACTCCCATATATCTTTAGCCTTCAAACTCCGGTTCAAGGTGTCCAATAGTGAAGGAGAATATGAAGCGTGTATTGCTGGTTTAGAAGCCGCCTTGGAACTAGAGGCAATAAGGTTAGATGTCATCAGGGACTCGAACTTGGTTGTTTCTCAAGCAAATGGAGACTGAAAAGCCAAAGAAGAGAAAATGAAGGTTTACCATCAGACCCTGGATGTTCTGATTCCTAGGTTCGAAAAATTGACATGCACGTATCTATTAAGAGAGAACAACCGATTCGCTGATGCTTTACCAACTTTATCTTCTATGTTAGACATCCCACTTGGAGTGCGGATGCGTTCAATTATTATCGAACAGAAATACACGCCAGTTTATGAAACTATTGCCGTAATAGATGAAGTGCAAGACAAAAACCCCTGGTATTACGATATTTGAAATTTTCTGGAAAAAAAAAGTGTATCCACCAGGGGCAAATGCCAAGAACAAACGGGGAATACGGCGAATAGCTGTCCAATTTATCATATGCGGGGGTAAGCTGTATAAAGAGGCCATCTGGGAATGCATAAACTGTGTGTGGAGGAAGAGAAATCGAAGCACCTTATGGAGGCTATCGACGGCCGAGAATGCGGGGCGCATATGAATGGTGTGATGTTAGCTCGGAAGATTCTCAGGCAAGGTTATTACTGGTCCACCATGGAGGAGGATTGTATTGGTTTTGTGCGGCGATGCCAAAATTGTCAAATTCATGCCAATCTCATGAATATTCTACCATCAAAGCTCTACAACATGACTTCGCCATAGCCATTTTCAGTCTGGGGAATCGATGTTATTGGTGTCGTCTCACCAAAAGGGTTGGTGAGAAGCTAGAGAGAAGGTAGAGCTCTAGAGTGAGAAGCTCAACAATGGTGTTTTTGGAAAAGTAAGAGAGAGAAGAGAAGTGAAAAAGTAATTTAAAATTGACCCTCAGCCAACTGATATACGACATTCCCGCTCGAGCGGAAAACACAATGCTCGAGCATCAAGAGCAAAAAACTAGGTCTGCTCGAGCGCAAAAATCCCCGCTCGAGCGCCAAGACACAAGAATAAAGCACATCCGCTCGAGCGCGAAAACCAATCCGCTCGAGCGTAGATTTCTCCCTCCTAGAACTTATACCCAGAAAGTACTACCCGCTCGAGTGCCAACAAACCCGCTCGAGCGCTGCCGCTCGAGCGTAAACAAACCCGCTCGAGCGTAAAAATCACATCCGCAGAAGTTTTGCAGGAACACGAAATACTGGAGGTGTGCAATCCCCGCTCGAGCGCAAGAAGACCCGCTCGAGCGGATCGCCTAAAAACTGGACAACAAGGAATTGAAACCAAGGCCTAACCAAACTGTAATAACCCTGCTCAAAACATCCTAAAACTCAATCAAGTGGAATTAAAGGACGGCAACAAGATAGATACCACTACAAACTTCACGGAACCGAGTCCGAAATACAACAGAACAGTAAAGGGACAACCGGGATCGTTATAGGTTACTACTACACATACTCAAAGTTACGGAGATATGGAGACTTGAAACCAAGTTCTGAATAAAAAATTTGAAAGTCGTACTACTGAACCAACACTTGTTGGTTAATTTAAATCATTCATCCATCTATGATGTCTATCAAATTTTTTGAGGAAATTTTGCCAAAACCCCTTCATTGAACCTTTGTTTGGTAAAAAAAATAGCCCAATTTATTTTGCTTCATAAACCCACTAAGGAGAAAACACATAATTGAGTGAGGACAAGGTAAAAAAAAATTTGTTTTTTTTAGGGTAACATGTTACTATGAACCAAAGTAGCATGTTACTGTAAAACAACGTAACATGTTACTGTTGCTGTTTACATCAATTTCAATGGTAATAATTTTTTTTTTTTTAAGAATTTCATAGTCAACATAGATCTTATTTGATAGATCTTGATGAGAATTTTAAAAATACTAATTTTATTAAAAACCAACATCTGCATCAAAAGTTATATTATTTTAAAGTTGAATATTTTGATAAAAATGGTATGTATTGGACATTTCAAGAAAAACTTTTTGTGCTTATCCTTAATACATTAAAGTTTTATTATGAGAGGGTTTTGACCAAATCTCCTAATTTTTTTAGTACATATTGCATGGGAATACGCACCATACCACTAAATGTGTAACCAAACCACTAAATTTCATAACATCAATCACGAAATATGTAATTTTGTCATAAATTAATGTAATAAAAAATGTCGTAACCAATTCACAAAATGTATAACCAAGCCACAAAATTTTGAACATTTTATTTCGTCAATTCGTGGCAAGATTGCCACCCATTACATGATCATCATCCAAACACATAATAAAATTAATTTGGTAATAAATAAATAAATAAATGTCTAAAGAATTTATCAATTTTATATAATTTTATCTTTAGTGGGTAGAAATGATTTTTAAAAGTTTAAAAATATTTTTTTGACATTTATTTTTTTCAAATTAGTTTATATTTTATCAAATTAATGACTTTACCCTTGAAATTGAGTAATGGTATCTTCAATTGTCATTATTTGAAACAAGATTCAAAATTCATGGTCAAATGTGTCACAATTGAAAAGTCTGTGATCAAAGTGACACAAGGCCTAAACTATAGGGACCGTTAGTATAATTCGCCCTTTTAGTTTTATAATTGTTGTTCCTACAGACAAAATATTTGTTTGATGAGATTTTTATGCTTACTATATGTTGAACAATATTTTTTATTTACTTGATGTTATGCTTGTTTAAGTTAATTGTGGAACAATATGTATGTTTAAAATGTTATATGATTTTTGAAATTAAAATGTTACATGATTTTTCTTTGTGAACGTGAAACCATGGTTCCAAACTGAACCGAACCGTGTTTAAATAGATTGGTTTTATTCTAATTTTTATGAAATCATAAACAGCGAATTGGTCCTGATTCTATCTCAAACCGAACCAATTCGGACCATGTTCACCTCTAGATTTTATAACTGTTAAAGATTTCCATTCAATAAAAATATTTATTCAATTCACGTATTCAATTTTTGCAATTTTGAATATATAGTTATACAATGATTATATTTGTACACGTTTTGAAATCGCATGACGAATCATACTTCGGAAGGACAAACTGTACCTACGACCGTAATCATACCAACTAAAGACGATTCATATTTATAGTTTGAAAGAGTGAATACACTTGAAGCTATTATTAGGATTTGTGGCAATAATAAATCACTATTGTTGAAGTTATTGATCATCTAAAAATTAGCACAACAAACCCTAATTATACGATAAGGATTGGATTTAAAATCCTAAGACGTCTCATTATTGAAACACCATTTACTTTGTTTTCATCCGATTTGATTTGATATCAATTTCAGTTAATAGTAATAGTTGTTCACAAATCACTTCAATTGAATTAATTTAAAACAATTTCTAAATCAACACAACTTAGCCTATAGTCCCTATGATTCGATACTTGAACTGAACCTTTGATCTTCTGAATTAAGGTTTAGTAAAGAATTATTTTTTATTGCAAACCAACATATCACTTTCCATAGAAGAGACAAAATGAAACCATTCCAAGATTGCTTCATGGTATACATACACACAGTTCTAGTCCTCTCACGAGATTGATGCCATTCATATTAATACAAAACATAAGATAATTGTTGGTATTTCTACACACCAAAACTATTCCAGAATTACAACCACTAATAAAATCATCATTTTCGATTTACGAGGACTCTGCCCTCGAACGCCCACCATCTCAAAGTGAGTAACTTGCACCGTGCCTGCTTATGTAGTTCTTGTACTTGCACAAAAACCAATTACGGAACCGGACATAAGAGGGTTGTGTAAAGTTCTATGATTCAGTTTCTATATTCCTAGATTTTTTCTTTCTCATGATGCCAACAAACTGAGGAAAGGGCAATGAAGAGGATGTTTTTAACTACAAAGCCAACCTAGCAAGCTGCTCTTCAATCTCTTCTAGATTTTCCATTTCATCTCCAACCTCAACCATAGATTCTTCCTGCAAAATATGCAACAAATTTGTTTGTTTAGCTTCCCTCGAAACTGCATCTTGTAATATTTAAACGTGAGTGGTGTTAGGCGTACGCTTTTAACAAAGTTTTCTCTCTCGTAAGGTAGATTTCCGCTATATTTTCCAAGAGACTTTGAAAGTTGTCCAACCACATCTACCACTATTTGATCAATTTCAGTTTCTTCGTCTTCTAAATCCAATGCTTTGTCAACAGTATCATTTACAATCTCATCAATAACACCAGCCTGTGAAATACATGCATAATGAAATAAGTATGGATAAATTAGACTTACACCCCATCGAGGTTTGGGTTTAATACATATCATCCCCTAACGTTTGAAAAATTACACTAACCCTCTTGTCATTTTAATTATTTAGACGAAATGAAGACATTGAACACATGCACTCTCTCTTTTCTTACTTTGCTTTACTTCCTCTTTTTTTTTTTTTAATGTAATTTCCTCTATTTTTCTATTAGGAGTTGTTGCATTTTATATAAGCAGGGGGATTTTTGAAATGAGACTATTAACTACAAGGATGGAATGTAATTTACCCAATAAGTATATGTAATGCTGATATAAAAAAAAGTATATATAATGCTCTCAAGTTGCCTCAAACATTAAGCATGATTTGAGAGAGAGAACTAAATCTTAGGGCATTTTAATGCTTAGCTTATTTCCTTGGCGATTTTCAAAAAGTAAGTTAAACACCTCTATTTTTGTTGCTTGGAGACTAGAAAATGAAAGGAAAGTAAGTCTAGAAAATGAAAGGAAAGTAAGTCTCAGAAGGACATTCAGAACACTGGTAAAAAATTTTACACCCTCATTTTCATGTGTGCATTTTTGTTTTGTTTTGTTTTGTTTCAATTTTTTTTTTTTTTTTTTGGTGTAAAAAATAATGCATTAAAGAACACCAAACAACATTTAGACAAGTTAGGACATTCTAATATGCCATGCCAGCAGTAAACATGAAAGATGAATTGGGAATATTGGGGTAACTGGTTCTCAAGAGCTTATAAAATAGGTTCAATGATTCTCCCAGAGGAAAGCTTATGTTTTGTTTGAATCTTGAATTTGTGGTGGGAAATGAAAAGAGAAGGGAAAAGTAAAAGAATTAAGGTTTTTTTTTTCCCCTTTCTCTCCACAAATTCAAGATCCATATACAACATTAGTCAAGTTATAGTGATTCCGATTTTTGACTTGACCCATTTGATATTCTGGAACTAGGGTTTTATGGTTTCCAAGTGGTGTTCATATATTATCCCCTTTATTCTTACTTGAGTTTGGCTTTTGAGTTCGTTGGAGCTTGTTTGGAACAGGTTGGTTGCTTAGTTTTCAAACTTTTGTTGCCCAAATCTTTGTTCTTCCGCTCGCGCGGCACTTCTTGCGCTCGCGCGGGCTTTGCAAACTCTCAGTACTTTTGCAAGTCTGCAAAACTACTAGAAGAGTGTATTCTACGCTCGAGCGGCGTTTCCTACACTCGAGCGGCTGTGCACTCGAGTGGCCATTCTTATGCTCAAGCAATGTTCTTCTGTTTGCAAAACTATTGGATGTGTGTATTCTGCGCTCGAGCAGAACAGCTTATTGTGTCTGATGCTCGAGCGTCAACTCCTGCGCTTGAGCGGACTGTGGATATATCAGTTCGCGAAAATGACTTTTTCATCACTTTTTCATATCTATTTCTCTCCAAACCCTAAAGTTAAGAATCCCTTTCTCTAAAACTCACACTCTCTATACTTTTTCACCTAGATTTAGTGATTTCTACACCCTACCCTCTTTGATAAAAAGATAGAGCATCTCAAGGGCTTTATTCTCATCCGAATAGGGTTGGATTTCGCCGTATTGGAAATGTCTCCATTCTGTCTCTCGGCTTCTAAACTTGAGGTAGGGATTTTTCTACACTCTCGTATGGTTTTTAACTTGGTTATTCATTGATGGGTAAGAAACATTGGAATTTGAGGTGATTTTGAACAAACCTAAGATTTTGGTTTAAAATCAAAAAAAGGGGTTTTCAAGTGTATGTGTTAAGAATGATTATGAGTGTGGCTATGAGGTTGTGTGGTGTTGAGATTGTTGATTTTGGCACATGGGTTGGGTTTTGGATGAAAATGGAATTTTTCCCTAAAACTTCTTAAAGGATTATTTTGTATAAATAATGAAATTGGTAATGGAAACATGAAATTGGATGGATGTTTATATAAATGGTGAAGTTGGATATGTATTGTAATAACCCGACCCTCGTACATGATTTCTGTTATACTCTCAGTCCTCAAATGGTACTTTTAAATGCTTACTATGTAGTTCCGTGAAAAATTATGATTAAGGAAGTGAAATCCATGTCTATGAATGTCTATCTGTCTCACAAGGAAACTATCTGTCACCATTAACACGTTTGCATTAGAAATTGGAAGCCTTAACAGCTTAATTAGCTGAAATTGATTATATATCTGTGATCAGCATAATTTTTAAGTAATATTAAGCATGTTCACAAAATTTTAATTTTAGAATGATTAAACGATTCATTTTTGTCTTATATGCCTTATATGCATATAGACTTCTAAGACTTCATGAGCCTTAGGCAAAAAAAGGGAAAAAAACGTGAATACCATTTTGGGGGAGAAAAGAAGAGAAAGTGAAGAAGAGAAATTGGGGGAGAAGGGATCCAACAAGAAAGCTTGGCAAAGTCGTTAGAGGTGTAGGATTGAATTCAAGGTAAGCTCAAATCCTTCTTATTATGGCTACTTAGAGTTTGTAATTGATGTGTATGCTTGATTCATGTCCAATTCATGCTTGATTAATGAGGGTTTCTCTCAATTGGTTGCTTAGGCATCTAGATTGAGTGTGGTAGGGAATTATACTTCCATCTATGGTTTTCTACCATCACTTCATGGAATTATGCATATATCATTACACCCCATCGAGGTTTGGGTTTAATACATATCATCCCCTAACGTTTGAAAAATTACACTAACCCTCTTGTCATTTTAATTATTTAGACGAAATGAAGACATTGAACACATGCACTCTCTCTTTTCTTACTTTGCTTTACTTCCTCTTTTTTTTTTTTTTAATGTAATTTCCTCTATTTTTCTGCTATGAGTTGTTGCATTTTATATAAGCAGGGGGATTTGTGAAATGAGACTATTAACTACAGGGATGGAATGTAATTGGACCAAATCTCAGGAGGTGTTAGTGTAATTTACCCAATAAGTATATATAATGCTCTCAAGTTGCCTCAAACATTAAGCATGATTTGAGAGAGAGAACTAAATCTTAGGGCATTTTAATGCTTAGCTTATTTCCTTGGCGATTTTCAAAAAGTAAGTTAAACACCTCTATTTTTGTTGCTTGGAGACTAGAAAATGAAAGGAAAGTAAGTCTCAGAAGGACATTCAGAACACTGGTAAAAAATTTTACACCCTCATTTTCATGTGTGCATTTTTGTTTTGTTTTGTTTTGTTTCAATTTTTTTTTTTTTTTTTTGGTGTAAAAAATAATGCATTAAAGAACACCAAACAACATTTAGACAAGTTAGGACATTCTAATATGCCATGCCAACAGTAGACATGAAAGATGAATTGGGAATATTGGGTTAACTGGTTCGCAAGAGCTTATAAAATAGGTTCAATGATTCTCCCAGAGGAAAGCTTATGTTTTGTTTGAATCTTGAATTTGTGGAGGGAAATGAAAAGAGAAGGGAAAAGTAAAAGAATTAAGGTTTTTTTTTTCCCCCTTTCTCTCCACGAATCCAAAATCCAAATACAACATTGGTCAAGTTATAGTGATTTCGGTTTTTGACCTGACCCATTTGATATTCTGGAACTAGGGTTTTATGGTTTCCAAGTGGTGTTCATATATTATCCCCTTTATTCTTACTTGAGTTTGGCTTTTGAGTTCGTTGGAGCTTGTTTGGAACAGGTTGGTTGCTTAGTTTTCAAACTTTTGTTGCCCAAATCTTTGTTCTTCCGCTCGCGCGGCACTTCTTGCGCTCGCGCGGGCTTTGCAAACTCTCAGTACTTTTGCAAGTCTGCAAAACTACTAGAAGAGTGTATTCTACGCTCGAGCGGCGTTTCCTACACTCGAGCGGCTGTGCACTCGAGTGGCCATTCTTATGCTCAAGCAATGTTCTTCTGTTTGCAAAACTATTGGATGTGTGTATTCTGCGCTCGAGCAGAACAGCTTATTGTGTCTGATGCTCGAGCGTCAACTCCTGCGCTTGAGCGGACTGTGGATATATCAGTTCGCGAAAATGACTTTTTCATCACTTTTTCATATCTATTTCTCTCCAAACCCTAAAGTTAAGAATCCCTTTCTCTAAAACTCACACTCTCTATACTTTTTCACCTAGATTTAGTGATTTCTACACCCTACCCTCTTTGATAAAAAGATAGAGCATCTCAAGGGCTTTATTCTCATCCGAATAGGGTTGGATTTCGCCGTATTGGAAATGTCTCCATTCTGTCTCTCGGCTTCTAAACTTGAGGTAGGGATTTTTCTACACTCTCGTATGGTTTTTAACTTGGTTATTCATTGATGGGTAAGAAACATTGGAATTTGAGGTGATTTTGAACAAACCTAAGATTTTGGTTTAAAATCAAAAAAAGGGGTTTTCAAGTGTATGTGTTAAGAATGATTATGAGTGTGGCTATGAGGTTGTGTGGTGTTGAGATTGTTGATTTTGGCACATGGGTTGGGTTTTGGATGAAAATGGAATTTTGCCCTAAAACTTCTTAAAGGATTATTTTGTATAAATAATGAAATTGGTAATGGAAACATGAAATTGGATGGATGTTTATATAAATGGTGAAGTTGGATATGTATTACCTCTCACCTATGGAAATTTGGATAATTTATCTATTTTAGAGATTATATATCTATTTAGAAATATCTGTTTTGGGCTATCGGTGGAGGATAGCCATGATTGTGCTAGAAATTACACGAGGATTAGGTGAACTAAAACTAATCTCTTATTGATTGTCATTGAATATGACTGTGTTTAATACATTGCATATGTATGATGTTTGGAAGGAGAAAGGGAATGGACTCTATTGAATTAAGTTAGCCTGTGCGTCCAAAGTGAAAGTCCCGAAAACATTGTGTATACATGGGTGCCGATTCCTGCGGACGAAATTTTCGTAAAATGGCAAATGAAAGTGTCTGTGTGATGACTATATTGATTCAAAAACCTTTGAATTGTATCCTCAGTTTGGTTTTCTGTAATAAATGGAAGTAACTCATGAATTGAGAGAGTTGTAAATGATATGGTTAGTGATATAAAACTTGGCATGGCATGGTTTTGTGAGAGAGTTGTAAATGATTTTGTCATAGGGATTGTATATACACTTCATATTTATAACTTTGTTAAGATTCATATATTGTGTTAGATTGTCTTTACTGGGCTTTGGCTCACCTTACTTGGGAAAAACCATTTTCAGGTACTGGTGATATGCCTCCACCAAGGACTTAGCTTGGGAGAACTGTGGAGCTGAAGGCTCAATTTTATTATTGCTTGTACTTAATTTTTGTACGGCCAAGGGCTTTGACTGTGTTGAGCTAGACTCATTTGGTTGTAACCAAGGAATGACTTGGAAAGATGTAAGTCGTTAGGGAATTTAAATATTTGTTCAACTTTCTTCTTTTGATTATTAGTAACACATGTTGTAGATTCAGGATAGGACATTTATGAATGTATATTGCATGTGTTACCTTTTGTATATTAACTCTAATGAAATGAAAGTATGTTGTTTCAAGTCTATTTCCGCCAATGAGATGAGTTGTCATATTTATTTTGTTATGTTACAATTAGTCACTATTATTTAATAGTTCAAGAAATAAAATCACCTTTGTCATTTGTTTTCTGAATTCTTTCATTTTGCTGGATATTTCTGGAACTTTTATCAGCTCATTTACAAGTTTTGTGACCTCTGTACTCTTTGACAACTGACCCACTGTGTGAACAACAGCTGCAAACCAAACCCAGAATTTGAGTAACGAACCAATATTAAAACAAGAGATGAATTGAAGTTTCTTATTAATAATTATTTCAGATGTCCTGGCCAATAAATTGAAATAAAAATTGAAAAACAAGAACACTAACACAACCTAAACTAATCTATTAGGAAGAGGCCATATGAATTAATGATCAGCTAAGAAAGTTAACGTGGAAAAAAAATAAGGATTTAAGTTCAAATAATTGATTCCCACTCATTGATAAAGTTCACATCCAATTTTTGAGATCACTAACTTATTTTGTTGAACTTCGCAAACTTTCTAGAGTAAAGCTTTAAAGTTCTATAGGGAGAGGAAACTAGATAAAAATTCAAGTTAAAAGGAAACATATACGATAGTTTTAATTTCTCTATGAAAAATAAGAACATGTATTCAAATTTTCTGCTAATATTAAAATTTTCAATGAACGTTAAATTTTTGATGTGTTTTAGATGTGTAGAACATCATACCAACACATTCTCCAAGGTGAGTTGATATTGAATTTAGTTGTGCCTTGTTCTCACGAAGTCGATTCATCATTTTCCTTGACCTCACCATTTCCTTGGCAATTGCCTGAGAAAATGGTTAATTAGGAAGAAAGAAGAAAGAGGACAACAAATATTAAATCAATGAAAAATGCAAGTATTGACAATGAGGTGAATATAAAAAACTATCCAACATAAAAGATTTATATCAAATCAGCTCATTAAAATATCTCCTCTAGCTATACCTGAACTTGGAACACATAGAAAAACAATTCATGAATAATTCTTCTTTAATGTATGACAGCCCATAGATGAAATTCATAGAGTAGAAGACCTAGAGCAAAACTGCAATTTAAAGCCCTTCACTTGCTGCCCCTAATGCTCCCTCTATATTTTATAGGTGTTTGGAAATGGAATGCATTTCTTTTTCCTTTGACATGTACAACACAGAAGACCTAATGTGTGACAACCTCGTTCTGTATTATGTTTTTAATTCCTTAATTGTGCATGTGCTTATGTATTAAGTGTGAATTTGAGTGATACATATGTAATGAATATGTTTTTAAGTTTATATATGTTGATCATAGGAAAATCTGTAATGATTTCTACTTTGATCTGAAAATTGAAGGCCTTAATCGCGTCAAAAATCGAAATTAGTTAACTTATTGTGATCAACATAATTTTTAGAGCCTATTAGGAAATTTAATTAAAATTTGATTCAATCTAGATTAATTAGATTAAACTAATTAGAACTAATTAGTTAATCTAAAGCCTTGATTAACACCCTAATCTAATTCTCAAGTATAAATATGTTGTAATTAAGAGCTTGAAGCCTTAATCATAATTTTGAGCTCAAAAATTCTGAGATAGAGAGCTTTAGAGAGAGAGAATTCAATTGTAAAAAGAGAAAGAGCTTGCATTTGAAGAATTTTGCTTAAGGATTGAAGAATCAAGGAAGACAACTCAAGAACTTGCTAAATTGAGCTCAATTGAAGACTCTAGGTAAGCTTTTGAACCATAATTCATGAAGCTAAGTTATTTCATATGTGAATTCAAGAGAATTATATGATAGAGTACAAGAATTAAGCTAAGATTGTTGAATTTATAGGCAATTTATACATGCATGCATAGTTTGGTTGAGTTTTACTATTTTTGAACATAATTATCTCATCCATGTTGAATTTGAAAGATGTATTGTACATGCATGCATGAATTACAAGGTTTTGGAAGTGAATTACATGTTTTGAAGCTTTGGAATAGAATTTGAAACTTAAAATCAACATGCATAAAGATTTGGATTTTATTTGAAGCATTCTTGAAGCCTTGAGCTTTGATTTTTGAGAATTGGCTTTGTATTCATGTTTTTGGAAGATTTTCTAAGTGTTTTCAAAGTTTTATCAAGCCATGCAAGAAATTGATTTGGAAATACAGGAGTTGAAGCTCAACCCTATTCTAGAATTTCTAGAATTCTATCGCAACGCTCAAGCGAACAATCAGTTGCTCGAGCACACATTGCATGTATCTAGTATTTTTGCAGACAATTGTAGTTAGCTCAAGCGACCAAGTTACTGCTCGAACGACCACCTTTTATTTCGCACCTTGGCTCAAGTGAACATCGAGCCTAGATTCAGACCATCCAATACTTTTGCAGACTAAGTTGTCCGCTCAAGCGACCAATGTTGCGCTTGAGCAAAGTGCTCTATTTCAGTAAATTTTAAAAAGGCATATTCTGATCAAATGTGCATTCTCATTCCTTTCTGAGCATTCTTAGGAATGAATTGGACATCCTAAATGGATTAAAGGGTTAGAATGAGACCTAAGGCCCCATTTGTTTTCAGAGGTAGAATAGAGGGGATGTTAGTAGAGGATTGATAGTGAGGGAATTAAGTAAAATTGTGTTTGTTTTGATGATAGTTGTTAGTGTAGGAATTGTTAAATTATTTTTATATAAAATAATAAAACAAATAAAAAATATAAAAAATTAAACATTAATGTTTAAAAAAAATTCCCAATATGTAAAAAATAAAAAAATTTCTAATCCCCTCACTATTTTCTAATACCACCTCCACCTCCTCCATCACAATTCCCTTCCAACCTCCATCTTAATCTCCTCCTCCATCCTAATCCCTTCCCCAACTCTACAAAAAAACACAACACTAAATAACCCCACCTCCATCCAAATCCCCTCCCATCCATTACACCCCAAAACAAACGGGGCCTAAGAGAATTGAGTAAGTTAAAGAACAATCCGATTAAGCAATGTAATTCAATGTATGTACATTGATGTATTATGTAGGATCATTTGCGAGGACAAGTCAACAACTGAATCACTATGAGTAATATCTTAGTAAAAATATTTTCTTACTTGCTTTATTTTCTGAATGTCCTCATGCGATAAGCTTTTCCGAATTTGTGATTTTGTAAGTGTGAATGAGTTTATATCTGTCTGATCGATATGACATCTATAAATGTGATTGATGTGTCACAAATATATGTGATAGACCCAATGTCATTATGTACACTTGAATTGGACCCAAGGTCGTTCTATACATTTGATGAGATGGACCCAAGGTCGTTCTGAATATCTGATAAGTCTAATTATCTGTTACGAGTTGACCAAATAGTCATAATAGAGCTATAAATGATTGGACCCAAGGTCATTCTATTATGTATTGCTCATGATATATATATAAATAAATGCTTATGCCAATTACTTGAACTCATTCACATAAACCCTTTACTTTGATGTTATTCACTGGCCATTAGCTCACTCTATATTTATATGTATGTAGATGAGCAGCGGGATGTCCAGCCCAACCTTAGTGAACTTGTAAAGGAAACCAAGTTTTGTGAAGTCTATCACGAGCACCACAAGAGCGAGCCTTTTGTTTATTTGATCTTTCGATTTTATGTTTCTTTCTCTTGTTAGTCATACTCGACCATTTCTGTATATAAGGTTTGGTTTGTATGACAATGATGCTTGAAAGATCTTGGATATATGGAATCTTATTATGTTTGCATGAGTGTGAGTTATTAATATATGTTAAGTTTCTATTTATGCCATTTATGCACAACTCATTGGACAAAATTCTTTTAATCTACTTCTGCTTCTGACCCCCTTATTATTAAATATGTATGTATTCTGTATGAGGTCGTAGGTAATCTCATAATTACTGGCCAGTTATGATCCAAATCTCTAGGGATGGGTTCGGGTCGTGATAAAGTGGTATTAGAACACGAGTTAATAACTCGCACACCAGTCCAAATGAGCGATAAGGTGTCTAGAAAAGACTTAAGGTGCATTCATCTAATAAGTATTTGTTTGTGTGCATTGGAAACTTGTAAATATATGGAATATGAACTGTTGTGCCTATATGTGTATATATGCAATTTCTGTGTCCATTATAATGCAAGTTGATATAGATAATGGTGAGAACAAGGGCCGATGAGATAGAAGAGTCGACAAGGGCCCGACTAGATAGAATGAAAATGACAATCCATGATATGTCTAAAGTATTGAGGCAGCAATAGCAACAACCACCTCCACATCTACCTCCGTCAATGCCAGTACCGCCTATACAAGATTATCAAACTGATGATCGTATAATCTCTCTCACTAAAGAATTTAAGAAAATGAAACCACTATTGTTCCATGGGGGAGTAGACCCGCTGAAAGCTGAAGCTTGGGTCCTTGGACTAGAGAAATTGTTTGATGTATTTCTGTGTGTCGAGACACAAAGAGTTTAATTGGCTATATACACTCTAGAGGATGAAGCCAAAAGATTGTGGATGCTAATCCGAGAGGACAATAAGGGGATTGTCTGGACATGATTCCTTGAAATATTCTATGAAAAATATTTTTCGTAGTGTGTCCATGATCTGAAAGTGTCTAAGTTTGAGGGACATTAGCAAGACAACATGACAGTAGTTGAATATGAAGCAAAGTTCAAAGAGTTGGCCAGGTTTGCACTGCACATGGTCAACATTGATTATAAAAAGGTGACAAAGTTTGAGGGCGGATTGCGGAACGCAATTTTAGAAAAAGTAAATGTCTTGAAACTGCCAAAATACGTGGATGTTCTTGACCGAGTGTTAATGTCTGAGGCAAATTTGGCATCCCATAACCGGCCCTTTGAATGGAGAGAAAAGATGCATGGTTCTTATTCGAATAAAGGCTCATCATCTTCAAATAAGCAAAATCAAGAAGCATCTAGTGCCTCCAATTCGACAAGAGATTCTGCACCAACCTATAATGTGTGTGGCAAGAAACACCAGGGAGTTTGTTATCACACTTCTGGGGCATGTTTCCGATGTGGCAAGACCGGACATATGGTTAGAGATCGTCCCCAAAATGAACAAAGGGGTGGAAGGCCAGCTACTAGTTCAACTAGATCTATCCCAATGCTAGGAAACACTGCAAGACCCACAGTCATGAAAGACACCCTGAAGCAAGGAACAGCTTTTGCACTCGTCCTAGGTGATACACGAAATGCTGAAGTTGTTGTCTGAAGTATCCTCTCTATTTGTAATCAAGATACTTATGTGCTAATTGATTCAGGTTCAACACATTCTTTTGTATCTATTGTATTTGCATCTAGACTGAATAGACCCATGGAATCATCGCCATATCTGCTGAGTGTATCTGCTCCATCTGGGGAATTTGTTCTATGTTCATCTATATAACGTACTTGTGAAATATGTGTTGGAGATGCTACATTATTTGTAGATTTGTGGTATCTTGACATTAGACATTTTGATGTGATTTTGGGATGGGAATGGACTGGTTGTCTAAATACTATGTTACTATTGATTGTGTGACAAAACAGGTTTTATTTAGACCTCCGGGACATAATGAATTTGTATTTGTAGGTAATGGTGTAGTACCTCCGCCTTACTTGATTTCAGCAATAAAAGCATGCAAACTACTTTAAAAGGGGTGTCAGGGTTATTTGTGTAGTGTTTTGACTGATCAGCCTATGAATATGGTGTTAGATGATATTCCTGTTGTTAAAGAATTTCCAAATGTATTTCCAGAGAAATTGCTAGGGGAATTAGTTGACAGGGAAATCGAGTTTACAATTGAGATCA